TCTCTCTCTCTCTGTGAACATGGAGCGATACGCAAAGGGACAGCAGCAGATGCTGACACACACAAACGCACCAGCATCTGTGTTCATTGTTCATTACTTGTCTGCCCCTCACGACACTCAATCGCCCTCCCTCCCTCCTGATTCGCGCGCACAACAGAGACGTATGTGACTGTGCTGTACGACTACAAAGCACAGGGCGAACTGGAGCTCTCCCTCAAGGCCGGCGAGAAGCTCAAGTGAGACACAACACACATGCACACATGTGCATGATGTTTGCTTTGTTGCTCGGAACCTTGACTCACCATGCTGTGCTCGCCATCAGCGTGCTTCTGTTCCCCTCTCTGCTCACACACACACGCACGCACGCACGCACGCACACACACACACGCTCACGCGCGCACACCAGGCTGATTGAGAAGGAAAACGACACGTGGTGGCGCGGTGAGAAGAACGGAAAGGAAGGCGTGTTCCCAGCCCAGTTTGTCAAGCTTGGCTAACTCTTCAACACGAAGCGCCACAACTGCAACCCCCAATATCTTTCCTGCACGTCAAATGACAGCCCTCCATGATCACCTGAATGTGTGTATATGTGGGTCTGTCTGTCTGTCTGTCTGTCTGTGTGCCTGTCTGTCTGTGTGCCTGTGTCTGTCCGTCTGTGTCTCTGCGTGTGCATGTTTGTCTACATCTGTGCACGGTTTGTGGTGGCATCCTTTGCGTGGTATCATACCGGCCACCCTCTTGCCCCTCTTGCCCCTCTTGCCCCTGGCACGTTATGTCTGTTGTTGTTGTGGTTGACGCCTCCTTGTTGTCTCTTCCTTATTGTGTGCTTTCGTGCCGACTTGTCGCCCCGTGTCAAGTAAAGAGAATGCTGCCTTTATCTTCCTGTGGCCTGGGCCTCGTAGGGTGCAATACGATGCGATGCGATGATCACACACGAAGCAACTATGTACAAAGGTCACCACGCAAAGCCGGTGTCATGTAACGGAACCAAGAGCGCCATGCGACGTGCGGAGGGTGTCATTTGAGGTTTCCTGCCAGCGTGTCGACATGGCTGAGGATATCCTTGACGGTGGCTTGGTCGTAGGACTTGAGGGAGCACGTGAAGCAGAGCGGCTTCTTTGCCCCGACCATGTCACGCTTGTGCAAGAGCGTGGCAACCTGTTTCGCCAACACGTCCAACCCGACCTGCAAATACATGCATGTGGGGGAGAGCAAAGAGCAGCGTCGACGTGAGAGGATTCCTAGCTTGTGTGTGTGTGTGTGTGTGTGTGTGTGTGTGTGTGTGTGTCTGTGTGTGTGTGTGTGTGTGTGTGTGTGTGTGTGTGTGTGTGTGTGTCTGTGTGTCTGTGTGTGTGTGCGTGTCTGTGTGCGTGTGCGGTGTCTGTGTGTGTGTG